ATTATCAAACAGGTAGAGAAAATATTTTTAAAGATGCTGTTTAAAATTGCCTCAGCAATAAAGGACATAAGACTAAATCTACCAAAAGATGTGCAAGATCTTTACAGAAAATTGTATAAATTTTATTGTAAGACATTGAAGAAAATGTAATATTGTAGAGTTATATTATGTTCATGGATTAGAAATGATCTCATAAAGATGTCAATTTTGTAACCAACAAATGTTTGGTCATCAGAGAGATGCAAACTAAAACTGTAATAGTTGGAAAAAATGAAAAATTTTGAAAATATCGAGTGTTGGAAAGTACTTAGAGCAATGAGAACATATCTACAATCTGACACAATTTGGCTTCTCGTTGATCATACTTGGGTCCAAAATATTAGCTACCACTTCCTACTGAGGATTATGTATCTCAGGAACATAACGTTGATGGAAAGAGGCAAGAAGATAGGAGGATATACAGGTAGTATTGTTCCAGCTACTATAGATGTGTAAGAAATTACCCCCAAACTCAGTGGTATAAAATCAGCATTCATTATGCTCACAGAAGCTGTGGGTCTGGCATACAGGCAGGGCACAGCAGGGCAGCTTTGTTTCTGCTACATTCATCTTCGGCTGTGGTGGCTTGAAGGCTGGGGCTTGAAACCTCTAAGGTCTCCGTTACATGCCTGTGGTGATGATGGGGAGACATCAAGGGCTGGCCATGGGTCCCTTAGGCATCTCTCTCTCACTTCCTCTGTCCTTCCTTTTTCTCCTTCCCCCACCACCTGTCCCCTCTCCATGTTGTCTCTCCAGGATGGCAGCGTCAGGGGATCTGGACTTCTTATACACTGGCTCAGGGCCCCAGAGAGAGGGCCATGGGGAAGTTCTCTTGTCTTTTCAAACATATCCTTGAAGTCACACAGCATCACTCTGATGTGTTCTATTGGTTAGAAGCAAGTTATCAAGGATGACACGTGTTCAAGGGTAGAGAAATTAGATGTGGCCTTTTATGGGAGGGGTGTCAAAGAATGTGCCAACAAATGTTTTACAACAAGTATGACTCCATTCATACCTACTGTAGTTTAACAAAATGCCAAACGAAATCTCCTGTTACAGCTTTAAAAACAGGGTAAAACCATAAAGAATAGCAAGGGAATGTTAAATGTAAAATCGGATAGCTGTTGTACCTCTGAGGGGAGAAGGAATGGGGCGGGACTATGGAGCAGCACTCAGGTGCCTTTTAGATTATTGGTACTACTCTTTAACTGGGTGAGGGGGCGCACAGACGTTGATACTTTTGTTATTCTTTATACTTTATATGTATTCTATGAATATTATCTTGTAGCTACTTAGTAGTTAATAAAAACACAATGTAAAAGCTGGGTGGATTTTTATCTGCTCACTTTTGGGGGACCATCTGAGAGATGCATGTTTGATTCTGCAATGCCGTGCCTCCCACACACTTTCCCATGGGAACAACTTCTTCATCTTTTTTGCTAACTTCTCGGAGGATCTCTTGATGCCTCTGGGAAAATCCCTGCACTACCATTTTCTAAGTCAATGACTGCAGAAGAATTTCTTAAGTGAAACTGTGTCTTTAGAGCTGGCGTAAGGCTCAGATGAGGTGAAGAAAAGCACAGGTGTGTGCTTTCTCTGAATGTGCTCACTCAGTGGGAGTAAGTACTCTTTCTCTCTTCCTTGATACCTTGAGATTCTAAAGTGAACTTCCAACAGGAGGCAGTTAATTGCGTCCAGCGTGACGTGTGGTGTGGCGCTAGCGAGAAAGCAACTCAGACTTGCGAACTCCCCAGTGAGTGAGTCATTTTGACCTCCGTGCATTTCAAAAGCTGTGAGTTCTAGCAACAAACCTTAGGTGTGAATGAGCTGAAGACACAGGCGTTTATCATAATTACCACAATAAGGGGGACAAGGAAAGGAAAGTGGCAGGAGGGCTGTATCCCGCTAGAGAAGCCATTGGAGCCACCCTACTAAACTAGTGGTCCCCGATGGCCCCAAGATTCTCCTTACACCGCACGCACGGGGTAGATGTTGGAACCTGTCTCCCTGGGAGCAGCCGGCTCCTCGCACCCTCGTCCTGTCCAGTGCATTGACAGCTGCTCCCGCCGGGCCCCTGGCAGCAACTGCGCTTTGAAGCAGGGGGACAGCGGTGCCGCTCTGGGAATGCGAGTAAACCAGGAAAGGCTGTGCCACTCCTCTAGGACCCTGTATTTCTTCAGTTTTGATGAGTCAGAGTCAGGACAGCTGCGCAAAGTCGGCGACTGTGTGCGGGAACTTGGGAGCGTCGACGGGCCAATAGCAAACCACGCCGCTGTCGGTGGGAAGGCGCGAAAGGACGCAGGGCCACTTGCCCCGCGGAGCGCGCGGACGGAGCCTCGGCCTCGCCCAGTTCTTTCGTGTTAGCGTCAAGTGACCTTTATTCTTTTCGTCTTAGAACACACGGATAGGTGAAAACAAAACGAGCCATCTCCCGCGGTCACCCAGACGTACTCACCTGAGCTGTTAGGGTCCCGTCGCGTAGCGGGTGACGGTCCCTGCGGCAGCGCCGTCGCCCATCGCCGGGCCGCGCAGGGCGCGCTCGCCTGGCCGCGCAGGGGCTCAGCCGTCACCTGGGCTGCGCTCGCGCCTGCAAGGGATCCTGCCTCCAGAGAGCAGCGGGCATCGCATCGGTAAGTGTGTCCCCCTGCACTGCCGGATCTTCCAACTTCAGGTCATTATTTCTCAGGGGTCTAGCCTGCCGGCCCCAGGAGGAGTTGGGGCGCTGCTAGCATACCCCAGCCGCTCCCAGGGAGACCCCGGACTGGTTTCCCTTCCGGGAATTTTGGCTCCTTAGCTTTTTTGGGGTCCATAGCAGCTTCTATAAAAACTAGAGCCTGTTGAGGACTTGGGAGCGTGGGGTGCGGGGAGGACTTCCGGGGTGGGGAGCGCTTTACGGAGCCGTGGGTGGAGTGAGCCGCGACCTGCCATGTTGGAGCAGGGAGTGGAGAGGCAGGAAGGGCAGAGTGCTGTATGGACGGGCCAGACTTGTGCGGGTGTCCAGGCGTCCTCGGGAGTGCCCCATCCTGCTGGAGTCCCGAACGTGAGGGGAGTTGGGAAATAGGTTCTTTAGGTGAAAAGTGACCAGGCACTGGGGAACTGCATTACTAGATCCAGAAGACAAACGAAGCACCATAGCGCCCTGCTAAGTTCATCTCCTAGAAGAGGGGAACTGATGAGAACAATGCTTTCCCAAACTCAATACAAAGTGGCATCCGAGGAGGGCAAAGAATGCTACATGATTTTTGTTCCCCAGGAAGTAGCTTTTATCACTCCTGTCCCACCTTTCTGTGCATTTCCTGCCAACCTGCTGTTCTGGTGTAACTCTACGGAGATCTCAATGCGTCCACTTTCCCATTAAAGATAGGTAACAACATAGCCCAAATCACAGACCGAATTCAGGTCTGACAAAGTTTTCCCCACAGTCAAAACTATAAGGGATTTCAGCAGAAAAATCTAACCTGTAAACCTAGACCCAATGTTTAAGGGAGGTCAGTAAATTTTAGGCCCTGGGGATTTGATAGGCTCCAGTGGCTAGCTTATTTTTTAAGGATTGTGTTCCAGATGTATGCCTGAGGGTAGTGGTTTTGAATCACAGAAAGTGTTACTTAGCTATGGGTGTTGGACCCAGATAGCCAGGATCCCAGGCTAGTCCAGAAGTGCTAGGTACTCTATAAGGTGGCTCAACTGCAGCTCCCAATGGTCCCAAGTTTCCTAGTGGCTTGGGCGTCCTCCTTAAGCACTGTGGGGATGAGATGTGATTCCTGTCCCCTTTTGTATATGGTAGGTGAACCAAAAGTGTTCACCTATAGCAGGATGTAATGCAGAGGGTGCTGGGACGTGGGCTGGGAGGAAAGGTGACAGGGTTTCAGTTACAGAGTGCAAGAAGACTTGGGGAATGGAGGCTGCTTGGCAGGGCATTACTGGAAGATGGTAGGGCTGGGGCCGTGTGGCTGGGCAGAAGTAGAAGTGATTCTTCTGCAGCCTTTTTGGGTAGGGAAGGAGAATCTCTTCTGTCAGGTCAGTAGGGAAAGCGGACTGACATTTAAGACAGCATCATGGATAAGGAATATGAAGAAACTGTATCTAAAGGACACTAATTGTGTTCTAATACTATGGAGAAAGCTTAGCATAGGAGAAATATGCATCTCCCTCTGCTTTTTTGCATAACTGTGCCACATTGAGACTATTAGTAACTTTTGAATTTCAATTAAAATGATTGTGCTTACCTGGCTTCGTTGTTATTCATCTGCCAGGAGTCCAGTCTTCTTTCCTTACATGCTCATTTTTTTGTGATCTCTCCTGGTCATATTCAAATGCTTTCTTCCAGGGACCCAGGACCAGGGAGCCTATTTGAATGTGGCTCAAGGTCTCTTAAGAAGGCAGCCTCCTCCTGGTTCAGCTCTGAGTTTTCAGGTAACACTTAGGGAACAGTGCTACCTTCTGCTAGATTTGGAACCATATCCTCCTTCCCTGAGATAAAGTTACTAGAGTAAAATCTGACATAATTCTTTGGGAAACTGTTTGATAATATATGCATTAGTCTGTTTTGCACTGCTGTAAATGAATGCCTGTGGCTATGTAATTTACAAAGAAAAGAGACTTATTTGGCTCATGGTTCTGCAGACTGTACAGGAAGCAATGTGCCAGCATTTGCTTCTGGCGAGGACTTGATGGAGCTTACAATCAAGGCAGAAGGTGAAGGGGAACAGGTGTCTCACATGGCAAGCGTTGGAGCAAGAGAGGGGGTGATGCCAGGCTCTTTTAAACAACCAGCTCTCTGATGAACTAATAAAGTGAGGACTCACTTATTATCACAGGCATGGCACCAAACCATTCATGAGGGATGCACCCCCATGACCCAAACACCTCCCACTAGGCCCCATCTCCAACACTGGAGGTCAAATTTTAACATGTGATTTGGAGGGACAAACATCCAGACCATATCTCTATATATCAGAGTCCTTAAATATTTCATCACTTGATCCAGTAATTCAACTTCACAAACTTCTGTTTGTGTGTGTATATATAAATACTTTATACACTTATATAATTTTAGCATATTTATGTACTTAAGGCACAAGGTCAAGTATAACCTTATGTTTCAGCATGAACCTTTATCACCACAGATGCAGACTCTTTCTTCTCTTACATGATTTTTCCCCTTCAAGGTTCCTTTTCTTATTTTCTGCAATCTGGCTTCTTTTCCATCTGCCTGTTCTGGCCTCCCATCACTCACTCCAACAGATCTCTATACATGTCTGAAAAATATCTGTATGTAGAATTGAAGTACTTTGCCAGGGGTCTTTTGGACTCCATGAAAATTAGAAGATGTGATTTGCATACCCAAGCATCAGAATAACTGAGCCAAGATCCTAGTATAGCTATGTTGAGCAACTGAAAGCAACTTCAATTCCCAGCTCTAGGGTAATATTTAAGTAATGATACGTTAATACTATATATGATATTACACAGAAGTTAAAAAGGTTTTTAAAGGATAGTTAATCATTATTTTACAAAACTGATTGTATATGGTATGTCATTCTGTGGAAAAGCAAGATTCAAAGCTGTCCATTTTAGTTTCTGGCAGTACGGCAGAGCATGATGAACTCTCCCACTGGAAAAAAGTCATCATGTTAGGTAAAATGTAAAAGAATAGGAAAAACTGCTTACATCACCAACTCACTTTATGAAGCTACTATAACTTTGATACAACAATAACATTTGTCAACAATAACATGAGAAGGGAATATCATGGATGTGAAATTGTAAATAAAATATTAGGAAATTACATTCAGTATTAAGAAATGATGGCAGGAATGGTGTTAGCAAAATGGTGAATTAGGAAGCTTCAACCCTTTATTTCCTCACAGAAACATTAAAAAAAAAAAAAAACAAGCGGAAACTGGCTGAACTAACAGTCAAAGGTCTACAGCAACCAAGTGAATGCCCAATGAAAAAGAAGAAGAAACATTCAAAATTGCAGGAAGTTTCATGATAGTTTTACTAAACCTTGCCCCCCGCCCCATGTGCATGGCAAGGTGTTAGTCTTGAGGAGGAAGCAGCACTGTTTCCAGTTCCCTCCCTTGAACTAGAGGGGGCAGAGCAAACCTTCTTTGCAATGGTCTAACCTGTCTGGGGACTGCCTGAAGGACTGGTGTCTGTGTCACTTAGCTGAGATCTCAGATGGGGAAAAGTGATGCAAGGAGACTGCAAACCCACATGATGTCTGGGACAATAGATTACAGCTAGAGACATACAATAACCATCTAAGCCCTAAAACAGGCCAAGGGGAGAACGTTTGGGAAATTAAGACATTCAAAAGCAGCCATGTATAGGGAGGAATTAGGAAAGCCCCATGCAACGCACCCGACATGAATGCCCAGAGAAGACATGAGAAGACCTTAAGCTTTCACCTCAGGCTGATCCCTTAGATCAGAGGATGCCCAGCTAATCAATGAAGGACTTCCCTGGCACACAGTTAGTCTACAAAGACTGAGAGAGGTGGCTGTTTGTTCAAATGCCTTATTTTCAACAAAAATTCACAAGGCATATAAAGAACAGGAAAACATGTCTCATGCAAAAGAAGAATGTAAATTGGCAGAACATGTCTCTGAGGAAGGCCAGACACCAGACATATTAGACAAAGGCTTTAAAACAACAGTCTTGATAACCACATGCAGAAGAATGAAATGAGGCCCTTATCTCACACCATATACAAAAATAAACTCAAAATGAATTGAAAATTACATGTAAGACTTGAAACTGTAAAACTACTAGAAGAAAATATAGAAGAAAAGCTCCATGACATTGGTCGGGGCAATGATGTTTGGATATGACCCCAACAGTGCAGGCAACAAAAGCAAACATAGACAAATGGGACTACATCAGACTAAAAAGTTTCCGTACGGCAAAAGAAACAATTAACTGAGTGAACAGACAACCTATGGAATGGGAGAAAATATTTGCAAACCATACATCTGATAAGGGGTTAATATCCAACATATATAAGGAACTCAGACATCTCAATAGCAAGAAAACAAATAACCTGACTGCAAAATGGGCAAAGGATCTGAAAAGATATTTCTCAAAAGAAGACATACAAATAGCCAAAAGGTATATAAAATAATGCTCACTATTACTAATAAGCAGGGAAATGCAAATTAAAACCACAGTGAGATATCACCTCACACGTATTAGAATGGCTATTATCAAAAAGGCAAGAGATAACAAGTGATGGCAAGAGTGTAGAGAAAAGGGATCCCTTGCACACTGTTATTAGGCATGTAAATTAGTTACAGCCATTATGGAAAACAGTATGGAGATTCCACAAAAAATTAAAAATAGAATCACTATATGATCCAGCAATCCCACTACTGGGTATATGTCCAAAGGTAGTGAAATCAGTATGTTGAAGAAATACCTGCACTTCCATGTCCATTGCAGCATTATTCACAATAACCAAAATACGGAATCAACCTAAGTGTCTATCAGCAGATGAATGGACAAAGAAAATATGGTACATAGACACAATTGAATGCTATTCAGCCTTAGAAAATGAAGGCAATCCTGTCATTTGTGACAACATGGATGAATCTAGAGAATATTATGTTAAGTGAAGTGAGTCAGACAG